ATGACTTACCCACACACATACCTTTCATTTTTTGTAAATAATCACCCAAGACACAAGAAGTTTCCCTAACAGCCACTTACTTTAAAAGGTACAGAAAATCTCCACTGCTGAGGTTCACACTGTCCTCACAAAATGAGCTAGATAAAGCATGTAATTTTCATTAAATTCATTTTACAGTCTCTCCTCCTTCAGCCACGCCTGAACTGAGTAGAATGAAATTCTGTGTGAAAACTATCAGCACAAATAATATCTTTATCTCATGGGTGTATGGCCCATGCAAACACAGAAACCTAAGTTTCATATTTGCTTCGTTAAGAAAACATTCTTCCTGTCAGCATCTGGAAATGCTTCATGATATTCAACAACTTATTAAAAACAACACAAAAAGAATCTATATTAATACTTCAATTAAAAATTTCAAATCTTTGAAGAGAATCAGAAATTACTGAAAATAGTAATTTTCTCATTAATTAGAAAAATTACTTTTTTTTCTCATTAAAAATTCTCATTAATTAGAAAAAGAACTGTTCCAAAAAAACTCATTCACTGCTTAAATAAAGTCACCAGAAACCCAGCCAAGATTTTGGACGAAGATGTATTTCCAATGAAGTTATCGCAGCTTAGCTTTATTAGTGAAGTTTTAATTTAATTCTAGATAGTCTTCAGTCATTTTATGCTATTTAATTTTTTACAGAATCAATTGCAACATTATACATTTGTAAATGTTAACTGAAGTCTCAGTATCTCCAGTACTACTATTCCAAAATTATTATATTCTAATGTATTTGTTCCTTTTGAAACCCAGGGAAATATTCTGCCTACAGTAACAGATGGCTTTTTATTTTTTTGTTGCTATTCCAGAATCTTTAAGTCACCCAAAATGCATCTACTTAAACATGATACTGCAGTTATTATGCAAAGCCTGATCTACATGTTCACTGTTTAATATTTAACAATCTGGATACCATTCCTGTTTGGAAATAATTCTACTAGAGACAGAAATCATTACCCTAGCATTGCTATAATAAACAGATTTGCCTTTTTACATTTTATTGTCTCATAACAAAAAGTAAATGACTCATTTAAAATGAAATAACATATTCAATTAGTGCAAATGAAGTTTAGCAACTCATTCTGACTAATGTAAATTCAGAAGCTATCATCAATTAGGTTCATGTAAATCCTTTGATAATATCACGTCCCACTCTAACACACATTACTAAGGGGCGGAAGGATTTACAGGGTAATTTTAAATCTTAATGAGATCTAAAATGCCATGATACAGTAAAAATATAAGCAGCAGGTTATTTCACAACATGTACACAATGCACATCCATCACAAGCTAAGGTTTATCTGGGTATCCCCACATAACAAAAATGTTAAGCTCTTCTTGCTCAGAATTAAAAGTTCACCTTTTCTTGGTGAAAACTAATTTCTAGTACAAATGTTACACAACATAAAATCAACTGAGAAAGACAATTAAAACATTTAAGCAAGCTGCTTTAACAACACCCTGCAGTTATGCTATTCATTAAATACACAGCTCTCTCCAGCATGTACCTATTTCATGGGAAACATTCCCCGTGGAAAGAACAAAGCTATCATCACAGCAACGTGGTCACAGGAATACAAAATATCTACGGAAAATAGCTGTTCTTAAAAGGACTGGCCAGTGAGATGGGTGAAACAAACACATCATTTGCTCTCATTCTGATCCAAACTGCCGACTTCTGAGCTAAAACTAAAAGTCAACAGTTAAACTTACTTATGAAAAAGCTGCTTATACCCTGCATCATTAACACTCCTAGAAATCTCATATCCACACATTACAGAGATTTGCTGCCTTTTTACTTATTCAATGAGATTATGCCACTATTCCTCACAATGAGTACTATGTTGTTGATTACACTTACTGGCATCAAGGTTTGCCGTGCATAAAGCATCACTTAACCCCAAGTAAAACTGACAGAATTAAGATTTAAAATACTGCTTTAATTATGCCACCTGCCACATGTCTCTTAAAAATAATTAAAATGTGTAAGAGAACTGCCTATAGATTGGTAAAATGCATTGAAAGCCAAATTCCACAATGATCCTCAGTGTGAGATACACATTAACAATTTAATATAAAAGCTGAAGTTTGAATAAACATTAGTTTAGGTTTTTTGAAAGAGCTGTATATCAAATCAGAGCTTCAACAGCTGCACTTCAAAGGCTGATGTAGAACTAGCAAAACAAAATATTACAAGTACTTCCCCAGAAATACATTTCCCTAATATTCACTGATATCAAAGGCCCATACTTTTAGGTTTGAGAATTTATCATGAGACATCAAAACCAGACAGTAGAATAAAAGAAAACAAATATTAAAACCAGCAATTCTATACAAATTCCTACTCAAAGAAAAAATAATCAAAAGTGCTTGAACTTGAATGTTTTTGTTTGGTCGTTGTTTCTTTTTAAAAAGCAAGAAGAAATGTAGTAGAAAAATTCCAAACAGCCCTTTTGCATGAAAAACAGCACTTTAAGTCCAGAGCAAATATAACAGTATAAATTTGGAATAATGTAGTATTCAGGGTGAGTACACAGTAACTGAATTCAGTCCAGTTAAAAGTTATTTGCAATATACCTGATTCAATGCAATGTTTCTCGAAGGTCTGCAGTGACAATTTTTTCTTATCAATTCCTGGAACATGACATCAGTAACCAGCACAGCCTGATCACAGAACTGAAGGCCCTCAGGACCAAAAGTCAGAGATAGACCCTAAATTCCCATATGGCATCAGTGAAAAAGAATTAAGACCAGCTTTTAAATTTCAAAACATAAGTACTTCAGTAGGGGAAAAAACCAAACCATAAATACCTACTTACGGAACAAATAATGCTGCTAAAATTTACTTTTTTTTACAGCTCAGATTGATTACCAAGCATGTTATTTTCTTGGAAGACTCTTCTAGTTATATTTGTGCTGGCAAGTAGTTTTTAAAACATTTACATCAGGGCAGAAAACTATGCTCACACCAAGCCTTTCAAACCAGCCCTAGCGCTAAGTTCATTTGCCTTATTTTATATATTTGTTTATCCACATTATGAGAACAGTTTCCTATGTCATTTATTTACATTATCTAAAAACATCAGCAAGTATGTAAGATTAATTGGTCTATGCACATTACATGTATTTGTACATTTCAACAAATAAAATAACTGTTTTATCAGACAGCACAATAGACTAAGAACAGGCTAAAACATCACTGTGACCTAAAGCAAATATACAATTTGGCCACAGGAATTAGTTCCCAGTTCTTCATGTTTCAACTTAAAATATACAGAAATAAGCAAACTAATTAGTTACAGGGATTTATCAAGTTTGTTTTCACTTCCTTTTCCCTTCTCTTTCCCACCTCAATGCATTTCTTTTTCCTACTTCATGCTTTAACAGACATATACATTAATAAATTTGTAGGGCTTTCCATCCCATACACTTAAATATTTCTTCTTAGCATGTCCCTTCCTTCAGAGAGAACCATTCTAGGATTCTCAAGTCTGTACTTGCCAGTCTACCACCACTGGGAAGGTTTGCATATAAAACTCAGCAGTTCAGTTTCTGAAGATCAGAACTGCTTGGGTTTTGTTCTAGGACAAATTCCTACTTCAAGAAGGCAACTTCATTGCACAAGCAATGCCAACAAATTCCACATGATTATCCACGTATGAGTTATCAATAAGTACTAACAGATTTATCATCTTAGCATTTACAAAAAGAATAATTTTTGCCTGCATTTCTTCACAAGTAATGGAAAAGACAGGATGAATTTAAAATTGTTCTAAAGGCAGCTTTATTGCCACTATAATAACCCCACTGAAACAATGGCCACTATTTTGTGCAGTTATAGTATATAACAGTTATAGTATATATATAGTATATATATAACAAAATAGTGCAACTATTTTGTTAGTCAATCATCAGGATGATAATTGCTGCATTTGACAGGAAAAAAAAATAAACCTAAAAAAACTCTACCCAAACCAAAATCCAACTAAATCAAAACTCTCCAGCAGCAACAGCTTGTACTATGCTATTTAACTGGCTTTACCTCAGTAGTTTAAATTTAAGAGTCAGCTTTAAGTAGAAATGCAGTAAGTAAAAACTGGAAAGAAAATTCCCCGCCTACAGCTGTTACCTAAAATTAAACACAACATTTCTCTTGAAATCTCAAGTGTGCTTCAAAAAGGCACCATGTGATCATATTTAGCTACTGCACAGTAGTTATGAACATTTCATCCACAACAGATAAACAAAGACTTCACTGAAAACATGTTAAAAAACAAGCCAAAGTGAAAAACAGGTATAATTACTTACATAATTATATATTTCATTTTAAGTGCAACCTATAACTTAGGAACATTTTCTTTTTGATCCTGTTATAATTTGCAACATAGGCAAAATGAAATAAACTACAAATATTTTGGAGGGTAAAAACTCCAACCTAAAATTGATGAAGTTGTGTTAGGTAGAATAATTCTATGTAAAGAGATGTTTGCTATTGGAATGGTACCAAGAAGATGACTTGTGCAAAAGACTAGGTGGTCTTAAACTTCTCCAAGGGGATAGATTAAATGCCTCCAATCCAGTTTAAAATGCTTATCATTTTACTGAGATCGCCAGCAAAAATGACAACAATATTCCATGTCTATAGCAATTCTAGTTTTCTTAACAGTACTGGGTCAAATTTTAAAGTTGTTATATCACATGAATTTTAAGGAACCAAAACCATTTTTCAAAAAAGTAATTACAAAGTAATATAATGTCACACACCATTCCTCATTTTAAAAGTCCCGTGTTAATCAGGTGTACTTACTTCAACAACCAGAATGAGGCACAAAGATTAGATATCTGGACAGTATTTTTGAAATTTTATTTGCATTAATATAGTTATACAAAGGGATTAACTATTTTTGGCACATATAAAATAAACTGCATGCAAGAGAAAGTACTTACGAAATCAAAGTCTCCATCTTGAGGGACTTTCCAGTTATCAGGGAAAACGTTTTTGGATATGTGGTAAGGTTCATGCATGTTCTGATTACAGTTTTCAGGGCTTTTATTCTTGGAATCTTGTTTATCAAAGTAGTCCATGAAAGAAGGTCTTTGAATTTGTGGTGAAGTAGCATTTCCTTGGTTAAAAGAAAACAGAAAAAAAGGTAAAAAACTATTCAATGATTAAAGTATTAATGCACTACAAACTAAACTTCACTAATTAATTTTCCTGGGGTTTGCAGAAACGAATACAGTCATTTGTATGTGATGCAAGCCTGTTTGTCCCCTGAGGATCTCTGGCATAAAAGCTCATAGTGAAGTATGATATTTTTGTAGCAAGATACAATGTGGAGAAATGTTCAAGACATTTCAGTGTTGCACACACAAATAACAGGAGAAGTTACTTCATGCAGTATTAATTTGTTGTTATAGAGACTGAATAACACGAGGTGCTGAGCATCCCTTTGGGTGCTGAATGCCCCTAACTTCAAGACCTGGTCCATAGGCACTTGTAGGAAAGGACCAGAGTTTCACTAAAGGTGGGATTTAATCATTACTTAGAAAAAGAACTTGCAAAACACAGCTATACAAATTGTGTCTAGATGCTGCTTAATTTAATTCATTACCAATTAATATTTCCAGAAAATTACAGGATCACCCTCTACAGATGGTTGCAAAGCACTCTGTCTCCATATCCTGAGGGATTTTTTTGTCATCATCAAACAGCTGCAAATGTTTTATGAAGCAGACAGGGATCAGCTTCCTGCTCTTTTATCCTTTTCACAAAACTAAAGGTTAAAAAAAAAAAATTCAGCCCTAAATTATTGAAATTTGTTTTCATTTGTGGGATTTCAAAGCAAATTCATTACTAAATACCATAATAAATAAACATTAACTGTCACCTCAGAGACCATATTCTGCATAGCATTGATACATTAAATGTGTCATGTCACTTCCTGGAAGTGTAACACATTTGACATGAAGATATATAAAATACATTTCCACAAATGAAATATGAAACAGGACAAATAACTAAGATTGGGGAGTGGGGGGGACCTACCACCAAATCAGACAAAACTATACATTTAAATTACAAGCATAACAAATTAATAGTAATTTTTATTTTATATAATTATTTTTACAAGTGAAAAGGAAAACTGAAATTATATTTTGAGCTTGTGTTTTACGTGACTACCAGGACTTGCTAATTATTAACTTCCTTATCTGGCTTTACACTTGTTTTTATTCATTCACTAAGCGGGTTTTTCTTCTCTCTTCCACTTCTTATTTCACCACCTCTTTCCATCTCCTCTGTCTAAAGACTTTCTAATTCATTCTAATTTTGCTGCATGGCTTAATAGCAGCCTGTTTTTTTATTAATGTTTATTTTTGTACTGCCATCTTTTCACAGAATCATCAAGGCCAGAAGAGACATTCAAGATCATCTAGTCCAACAACTGACCTAGAAACACCATAATCACCACAACCATACCCCAAGTGCCCCATCCAGACACTTCCTGACACTGCCAGGCATTCCAGAGATGTTGCCCCCACCACCTCCCTGGGCAGCCCATTCCAATGCTTACTCGCTTTTTCTGTAAAAAAAAATAAATTCAGATATCTAATCTGAATCTCCCCTGGCAAAACCTAAGGCCATTTTCTCTCACCCTTTCGCAAGAGACCAACCCCCAGCTGGCTACAACCTCCTGTCAGGTCGTTGTGGAGAGCAAAAAGGTCACCCCTGAGTCTCCTTTTCTCCAGGCTAAACAACCCCAGCTCCACACAGGACTTGTGCTCCAGACCCTTCACCAGTTCCACTGCCCTTCTCTGGACACACTCCAACACCACAATGTCCTTCTTCAAATGAGGGACACAAAACTGACCACAGGACTCAAGGTGTGGCCTCCCCAGGGCTCAGCAGATGGGGACATTCACTGCCCTGGACCTGCTGGCCACACTATTCTTGACAGAAGCCAAGACTGCATGTTGATTTATTGCTTCTTTTCTTTCTGCTGCTCTGAAAGTTTTCTGTTCCAGTAAGATTTCTTCTGGCATTTTTTAATGTGTGCTTCTACTACCATGCTCTAAGCTTTAGTGAATTTGACTTTAGCTGCTTTCCTTCAACTCCAAAATGATTCCTTCAGTCAATATGTTATTTCCATACACACCTTCTTTTCCTCACATTTTTTAGCTGATTTTTCTCTCAGTTTTTGCCACATTTTTTCACGAATTTTTTTCCTAATCCCAGATCTCTATTCACCATATTTTAATTAGTAGCAACTAACAATTCAGTGAACTAAACTCCAGGTTAAATTTAACTGACCAGACAACAGACACCTCTTGTCTAGAATCTCCCAAGTTTGCCCCCACTAAACTCAAGATCACTTGAAGGACATTCCTCTGGGACTGAGGAAGGGATAAGAAGTAAACAGCAGGGATGCCAAACAACTACAGGAAAGAGCACTAAAGAGCAAAAGCCATAGTCACAGAATGGGTTAAGTTGGAAAGGACCTTTAAAAACCATCTCATTCCAGCTCCCTTTTGATGGGCAGGGATGCCTTCCACTAGATCAAGCTTCTCAAAGTCCCATCTAACCTGGCCTCGAACACTTCCAGGGATGGGGCAACCACAGCTTCTCTGGACAACTTGTTCCAACATTTTAACACCCTTGTAGGAGATAATTTCCTCCCAATACCCACTCTAAACCTGCTCTCTTTCAGTTTAAAGCCATTATGCCTTGTCCTGTCACTACAGGCCGTTGTCAGAAGTCCCCCTGCAGCTCTCCTGTAGGCTCCCTGTTAAGTTCTGCAAGCTCCTACAAAGTCTCCCTGGGAACTCATGCAGAGAATGAGTCCTCTCCAGGCTGAACAGCCCCAGCTGTCTCAGCCAGTTTTCATATCAGAGGTGCTCCATCCACCCCTCTGATCATTTTCATGGTCCTCCCCTGGATTTGCTCCAATAGCTCCATGTTTTGGGGTCCTAGCGCAGAACACAGTATTACAGGAAGAGTCTCATGAGAGCTGAGTAGAGCAGGAGAAAAATGGAAGAGTCTAAATTTAAAAAACCACACATTTATAAAACAGATCCAAGAGAAGATATTAGCATGAAGGAGGTAGAATTAAAAACAGAAATACAATGCACTTTCTTAGTACAAACTGTTCATTACTTAGTGATTACTGCCCAAAACCCCTGAAACTGTTTGTACCAAAAAAGATAGGACACCACATTGCTGGCCTTTCACAACCAATTTTTTCTTGTGTTGAGATGGCTGTACTTAAGTTTCATCCCTGAGACATAGTTATAAACAAAAAGATTGCCAGTGTCTCTGTGCAAAATTCCAAGTACCAAAATGTTTGCCCATTACAGGTAAGGAAATCTCCATTCTCTCACATATAAGGCAATACTAAAGATTTTCCAAGCACTGCTCAGAATTTTTAAAACTATTCTGCTTGTAATTTTTAAAACTATTATAAATAATCTTCCTTATACATGTAATAGAAGACTACCTACACACAGAAAACAAACCATCCCCTCTGAATTCCTTGTTACCAAATGCATATTATGGAAATTGGGTCAACAGGATTGAAATTACTCCAAGGTAAGCAAAGAACATTTTATTTTTTCACTTTTTCTTTTATGTTTTGCTAAGTAAGAATTTAGACCTCACTTCTGATTTTAACTGAGCATACAGTCAGTTAGCCCAATTAAAACAGCAAGAGCTGCTTACCTTCACTGCAAATACAAAAACTCACAGAGAAAACCAGAAATGTGACTGCAAAATGATGAGACCAGAGGTATTTCAATCTTTTTTTTTGTTTCTTCCTCTAATGTAAAAAATCCTGAAGAATTTATTTAGAAATTAATTTTTAAGGTTTTGTTTTTATAAATAAATAAATTAAAAAAGAGACACTAATCCAATCTCTAGCTAACCTAACAGGTTCACTTAGCGTTTCATAGGAATGGGTAGACATCTACCAGTTTAAAGGCCATGTGAAAGCTGCTATCTCTTTTGTATTTACATTAGAAAACACTCAGGATCTTTATGTCAGAGCAAACTGATAAAGGTTGCATCTTTTTTTTCCCCAAAATAAGATCATTTTGGTCTGAAATTACTTTTTTACACTTTCATGAATCACAGAGTTATCTTCTGTTATCTTTTCAAGCATCTTTCAAAAACCGAGAAAAATGGAAGTATAATATGTAAAGATTACCTTAAGGACAATTAATTGACTCATCTATTCAGTAAGTTACACTTGCCACAAAAAATCTGCAGCACAGTCACTATCACTCCACACTTGCACTGAAAGCTTATTGTGTAATAGCCTGTTCCATTCTAGAAAGATCTGGATTTTTCATTCTTCTAAATATTTGCTTTTCAATAAGCAATGATCATGTTTAAAAATGTTTTCCACCATTTCAATATTTAAGAATATCTGTCTTCTACCATCCCTACAACTTGCCTACTGCAAAGACAGCTTGGGGGAAAAGGCCATAACAAAACAACAGTCAGAAACTGCTAGAAAGCCATAAAACACAGAGAGCACCACTGGTGCTGAAAACATTCTACCTCAGCAATACCTCTGATAGGAACACAGCCAATAGGGATGTACTCAAATATAGTTTCTTCAAGTTTCTTCCAAAAAGTATCCTGAATAAAATGAATGAGGTAACAACACAACACCAACTCTATGACACTGTTTCAAAAACATATCATAAATGAAACAAGTAATTCTCAATACACATTTCAAAATAAAGAGGAATGCACACTCCATTCTAATACGTGTTTTGGTAAAATTCCACCGATGTGTCATCTACCATGAAAAATTATTTTGCAGTGAAGCATTTCCAACAGAAAAGTATTATATTAACATCAAATTGATTTTAAACCTGTTTAAAAGTTCTGCTGTTAGTTAGCAAGGAAGGTCAGCAGAGGAGGGTGCCCATCTCCTACAGAAAGGAGACTCCCACTACAATTTCCTGGGAGGGCACAGGTGCTGGTATTTGGTTTGTTTGGCATTTTGCAGTGGAGGGTTTGCAATGTCCAGTAGAAAGTACATAAGCCTTTCTCTCACTCTGTGACTACCAGGACACTGGACCTCTTCTGCAGCTGCATATCTATGGAGGAAAGCTTTCTTCC